GATCTAGCTAATCATTGTCTTCAAGACTACTAGAAAGCTACAGGCAGGTGAGTTTTATCAGGGTTGGATCAAAACCCTGCAGGAAAGTGGCCTGGAAGGGCCAAGTTTGCCCATCACTGATTTAGGGTGTTCTTCCTCACAACCAGAGAGAACTTCTGAGAAGTTAATTTGAATGTTTGTATTATGACTAAAATTTGGTTTCTAGTTTTCTATACTCAATTTTTCTTTCAATTGAGTATAGAGTGTGTGTGTGTGTACACTGCAAAATATGCTTTTCTTACTTAGATTTTTTGTCTTGTTTCAAAGTTATTTAGTCGAGAAAAGGTGTGCGATCTTTTGTTATTTGTTTAGCATTAAAGTGAAGACAGCAGCGCTAGGATTATGCAACAGACATTATACAGCTCAGTGCCTTCACGCAGTTAATTAATAAACCATCGATTTGTTATATCGGCCTTATATAGCCGATATGCCGATGGTTGTAAATTGAGGAAAAATCGGCCGATAAATATCGGTGGCCGATACATCGGTGCATCCCTACTTCACACTCTGTTGCGTGACTTTAGAGGTCTGTATATAATATTGCGCTGATCCCCTGGCTCAAGTGTTATCTAGCAAACACCAGACTGTGCCAGCCATAGCCGAATATTCAGGCAGAATTATTCCTTGTCCGTTAATCGTTTTTCACACCCCTAATTATTACATTACATATTTAAATTTTACATATAACATAGATAAAGTCATAGAAATAAAATATCGAAAAATTCTTAAATCAAGAAGGATTTTCTAGACAAGTAAAAATTATTGTCTTGTTTTCATAAAAAAAAACATGTCAAAATTAAGTGAGTTTTTGCCTGAAACAAGCAAAATAATCTGCCAATGAGGTAAGCAAAATAATCTTGTTTTCTGTTTGAAATAATAATAATAAAATAATAATTATCTCACCTAAACGTTCGATCATGAAGTGCATTTTTGTTTTTACAATGGGGCAATTGTTGCACAATAGCTTACACACAGCACAAGCCTGATTTGGTGCGCTGTATGAGGCGGCCTCATACCAGGTTCACAATACTCTGTTTGCAGTGTGTATGCAGTCCATGTGCGATACATAAGCGGAGCAGAAGCAGCACAGACTCATTGTGCTTTCACACAGAGGTCCGCTACTGATCCGCGGCTGTTTACTACAAACACGACATTTATCCATATAGATTTCAAATCCAAACTTTGTTACTGAAAATGCTTTTTGAGCATTGTGATTCTGTTTTCACACAGTACAGTAATACAATCTTTCATAGACGTGATTAAACACAAAAAATAGCACGAGTATGTGTGAACCTGGCGTTACGTGTGCTACCCATACTGACATATCTATTTGTCCGCCTAAATATCTACCCATCTATATATCTATCCAACTACCTAAATATCTACCTATGCAAATATCTATCCATAAACCTATCCACCTAAATATCTATCCATCTACCTATCAACATATCTATTCGTCCAGCTAAATATCTACCCATCTAATCAATCTTTTAACACATCCAACTACCCAAGTATCTATACACTTATCAACTATCAACATATTTACTGGTCCACCTATCTATGCATCTACATATCTAACTAATGCTGGGTGGTATACCGGTTTATACCGAATACCGGTGTTTACTTTTGTTATGATATGACTTTTTAAAATACCGCAATACCGTAAATACCGTATGTCGCTTAAACAACGTTCGGAACGCGACACTGTTTGAAAGGGGTTCCTTTTCGCTGGTGCACTGTGGTGAGGGCACAGCTGTATGTGTTACTAAGCTGAAAGTTCCGAAACTGAAGCTGTAGAACTAATAGAACATGATGACGCAGAAGAACTCATCCACAATATCCACATTGACCGCCACAAATATCCACCGCCCCCTGCCATCAGCTCCCGCGTCTCTCACACACGAGCGCGACTTTAGCACTAGATTTAGCAACTTTCAGACCCTTTTAGCGGCTTTTTTCCATAGAATATTCATACTGACAAACCTAGCGACTTTTTTGGATAAATCTTAGCTATGGTTCAGTTGGAAGATTTCGCCAGTGCTGTCCCGCGAACGCAAGGTCTGACTTTCCCGGAGAAGTGTCACTTCTCTCTGCGTCTGTTCTGTGCAGTGAGCGGCAGAGAAGCAGAGCATTCAGCAGACTTGTCAATAAATGAGTAAAATAGGGCATTCTAAGTCAATATATTGCAGTATTTCCTCTCAATCAGTAGAAAATATGGTTAACACCTGGTCATGCATGAAAAAAAAAAATACCGTCATATACCGTGAAACCGGTATAATTTTGGAAAATACCGTGATATAAATTTTTGGTCATACCGCCCAGCACTATATCTAACCATAACAAAATATATAGATATCAACCTATCAGCAAATATATAGATGGATACACATTTATGTGAAAGAACATCTATCAATTTATCAATACATCTATCCAACTATCCATACACCTGTCTACCGAAATATCTACCATCTATGTATCCATCAACACATCTTTGTCTACCCATCTACATACCTATCCATCAATCTATCTATTTACCTATCAACATTTATCTATCTATTTATCTATTCATCCACCTAAATATCTGACCACCTATATATCTATCCACCTACCCATCTACATATCTATCCATCTACCTATTGACATATCTATTTGTCAAGCTGAATCTCTACCCATCCACATATTTATCCATAAACCTAATTATTGTTCTTTCTACATATGTATCATCGACCATCAACAATTCTCTCTGTCTACCCATCTACATATCTATACATCAATCTACCAAAATACATATACATCTATCAGCATATGTAATTGTCCAGCTAGATATCTACTCGTCTAATCAATTTATAAACACATTTATCCACCTACCTAAATAACTACTCATCAATATCTATTCATCAATCTATCTACCTAAATATCTATCCATCTAACTATTCACACACACACACACACACACACATACATACATACATATATATATACTGTATATTCACCCATAATATCTACCCATCTACCCAAATATATACCATCTATACCATAATCTAGGTAGCATTTACCTACCAACATTTCTATCCATCTACCTAAATATCTACCCATCTACATATCTATCCATCAATCTATCTACCTAAATATCTATTCATCCACCTTAAATATCTACACATCTATATATCCATCAATTAATCAACACATCTATCCAACTACCTAAATATCTAAACATCTTCACATCTATCTAAATATCTACCATCTACACATGTATCCACTGACCTATCAACACATCGACATATTTAGGTCCATCCATCTAACTATCTACATATCTATTCGTTCACCTAAATATCTACCCATCTATATATCTATCACCACATAAATAAATATATCTACATAATCTAAATATATACCCATCTATTCATCTACCTAAATATCTGCTATTTATCCATCCACCTACCTGTCCATCCACCTAAATATATACCATGATCTACTGACCTATCTACCTACCTGCCAACATATCTATCCATCTACCTACCTACCTACCGCCATATATATAGCTGATATCTAACTACCTACTAAAAATGTCTACCTTTTGAAATATCATATGCATTTACAGTAGGTACAGTACTTATATATCAATATATATATATCCATCTACCTAAATACCAAATAACAAATGTCAATAAAAAAACAATAGATATATTGTTCATAACAATAAAGACAGTAAAACATGTGTACACTTTCTGGTTGTCAAACTTAGTACAACAGGTCCATAGTTCATGTATACGAAACATCTACTGTATCTTTACCTTCTCTATCTATCCATCCAGCCATCCATCCATCCATCTATCTATCTGTCATCTGAATATCTATCTATCTATCAATCCATCCGTCTATCTATCTATCTATCTATCTATCTATCTATCATCTATCTATCTATCTATCTATCTATCTATCTATCTATCAATCCATCCGTCTATCCATCTATCTATCTATCTATCTATCTATCCATCCATCCACCTATCCACCTATCTATCGTGAAGTTCAGCAAGCAATGATCTCAAGAATGCTAAAATGTATTAACTATGAAGAATACATTCTTTCATTTTGTGCCTTTCTAGAGTGATTTTCAAAAGATAGCGTAAAGTGTCTTATAAAAGCCTGCTAAGTTATAAATAAAGAGGATATAGGACGTTGCTGAGCAGGTACTTCCTGGACTTCTCATGCCGGAGTATCGCTGTGGTCAGACGAAGGTAATGAATCTGGAGGACAGAGAAAGAAAACAGATTTCAAGAAAGCTCCCATCTGTTAAGCACTGGCTGCCACAGTAATAATTTGGATCAACATGTTGCCAATTCCCTCTCACAACTGTGGACATCAAACAAACTCATCAAACGCATTACAGCAAGCTCGAAACAAAGTGCCTCAGTCATTTTAATTATAACAAGACATTTATTTCAAGTGGGACGGGCACACAGACCGTGTCCCTGCTGATAATTGCCATGAACATCAATGGGCCAAGAGGACGTCAACACCTCTCAGCCTCTGATTAGACACAAAAGCAGACGTAAAGCGTGAACATGCTTTGAAGTACGAGTTCCCAGCATGCTCCTATAGGCTCCTCGGAAAGAATGA